ATTTCTACAGTGAGCGTGGCTAAGGGGGAGATAATACCTGAGTGGGGCTTAACTACGTAACGAGTTTTGATGAGGGGTTGAAGCCTGAAGGCCACCGGCATTGTGTGCATGACGTTGTGTAAGGTGATTTTGCCTTGGCACTTTTGGCCTGGTTCTACTCTTATTACGACTGTGTTTGAAGGCTCTAACTTTATGAGCCTGTCCATGTTGTTTTCTTTGGGGTGGATTGGTGAGGAAGGAAAAGCATAAGCATGAGGAATTAAATGAAAGTGAAGGTTTGGTGGTAGGTTTTTAATTTATGGGAGAAAGTGGGGAGGAGGGGCCGGCTGAATTAGAGTATGCCAAGTGGTGGTGGAAAGAACAATGGGACTTGTTCTATTCGGTGTTTGAAACTCGCAAAACATATAGTTCTTGAACAAGGCAAAGGATCATAAATCAATACAAATGTTCCTTCCCTTATTTTACAATATAAGTTGGTACGGTTTAAACTTTATTATAAAAACAATGTTAAACGTATAATATTAATCTATTAATGTCAATGACCATAACTTACATCTTATAGTATTTTCAATATGCTTAATAAGTTATGTTTTTAGAAATATTTTTTTATTAAGTATTTATATATTTATATTTTTTATTTGAATCTTTATAGCTAAATTTTATCACTAATTGGAGTGAAATAATTGTTATTTTATATAGTTGTTCTTGTCGAAATTAATTTTATATAGAATACTCATTCATAATCAAACTATTTCATCCACTTCACATTTCAAATTCTCTCATACTTTATCATCCATATATTCAAATGAAATAAGATCATATGTTCTTATCATAGTCCAAGTACGACTGGAATAACGCTTCTTAGAAACTAACATGACTGAGCGCTACTCATCATTTCAATAAACAGACACCTAAGAGTTCAAAGTGGACGCCACGAAGCCTAGGACGAGTACTAAGGCTCTAGGCCGAACACCTTTTAAAGACCAACACTGTTTGACACTAAATACTAATACTGATAAGAAACTATGAAGTAACGAACACTATCGAGTTTGAATGGAGACTCTTATTCTAAGAACGATAATAATATATTACAGAAAACAAGACCCAACACTTGGTTTAAGATCGAGCCTTGTAGAAACTGAACACTATTGAACGAGCGTTGGTCCAAGTCCTAGTACTTATCAGGAACGAGCGCTACTGAAATCGAACACTTGGTTCAAGACTGAGCACTAATAAACTTCCATAAAACGAAAGAATATATATATATATACACACACACACACACACAATTGCGCCACACTTATTTTTAATGAAAAAGAACGATAACGTCAATGACCTCAGTATATAATACATTAACTAAACTGTTTAGGAAACCTAAGGAAAGACTACACTTTGGCCGAACACTCATATATACATATCTAATATTATAACACGATCTTCATTAACGAAATCCTTTCTAGAAGAACTTAATCTGGACAGACGTTCAAAGGAAAAACTGAACTTTTAATACGATTTCTCGGTCACAGTTTACCTAATTCTATATAGTATTACATAAAGACTCTTAGACATTATCCCTAAAGCATGAGAAATCAGGTAAGACCATGCACTCCCAAGAAGAACCGAACTCTCGCTAATGACGCTCGACCATACTATCACCTTTACTAATAACACTACAGTTTGAAGATCAAGCCCTTTTTCAACTCGATTCACAACATGTATCAGTCATCCATCGACACGTCCAAACAAGTAGTACACGCATATTTCATATTCATCACATAATCAAACAACGTATAATGCAAACATACCAACATTCAAAAAGAAATTTAAATCAAATTATATAAGCTTCCCTTACCTCTATACGTAAACGAATGCTCAACGAGGCAGAATAGAGCTCCCCACTACCACAGTTTTAAAATAAATCCTCTTAAGATTTAAAATAATTATACACAGCAGCATGATAAAGAGAAAAAATTACAAATATAAAAAAGAAAATGCAATTAAAAAAATATGAGAAATATTACAGTAAATGATGTTACAAATTTCTGAACAATTGAATAAAGTAATGATGAAATTTAAAAGAGCAAACACAAAGATTACCTTAACAATTAGAATAATGATATACATTTACATTTGACACAATTAATAATAATAAAATAATCATAAAAAAGTGAATTTTTATAATTAAAAAAAATGAAAAGTAAGAAAAAAATAGTATAAAATGAATGTATAAAAATTATATATGTATCTTAAAGTATATTTTTGTAACATATATTATATCTAATCGCTGTCACTGCTGCTACTACCGTCACCATGTTTTTCATGTCCATGCTCATGCTTCTTCTTGTCCTTCTTCTTTTTCTTGTTCTCACCCTTGTCATGTTCATCACCATGGAACTTGTCTTTCATCTTGTCCATAAATCCTTCTTTGTGTCCTTCTTCGTGCCCTTCTTTGTGCCCTTCTTTGTGCCCTTCTTTGTGACCCTTGTTATGCTCATCACCATGCAATTTGTCTTTCATCTTGTCCATAAAGCCCTCTTGCTTGTGTTCGCCTTTGTGTTCACCTTTGTGTTCATCATGGGGGTTTCCTTTGTGTTCCTCATCTTTTTTGTGCCCTCCAAAGCTCTCTTCAATCTTGTGCATGATTCCAGACATGGTTTCTTTCTCACTCTTTTTTTAGGCCTTTTGCTTCGGTTTGTTTGTGATATCAGACAATGAAAGAATGTGAAATAAGTGTATTTATAAGGCTAGAAAGGGAGGATAATGACACAAGATTATCTGGTTTTGGCTGGAATTTCGGGAGTGTTCGTGTTCGTGATCGTCAACGCTGTGCTATTGATTAGAGAATTTTGGTTTCAAAAATAGATGAGGGGAAAAAATGGTGTTGGTCTTGTTTGTGGGGAAAACGTAACGTTAGGTGTGTGTCATTATTTTCATGGTGCGTGACACGTTTGTGTTTGTAGATGAAACTTAGGATTTGTGGTCAACTCATTGTGACGAGGTGATGCAATTATATATTACCATTTTAATATTTTAATTTACTTAAAAATATTTAGACTAAATTTTACTTATAGTTTTCTTTCTTTTTTTTAGAAAATTTATCATTTTCATAAAATATTGGTTTTATATAATTACTTTTATATTTTAATCAATTAGTTAATATGTTTTCTTATTTAAATAAATATGTTAAATCTAAAGTTGAATTGGATAAATAATCAGTGACAAAAAATTTCAGAAATTAAAGAGAAATAAATAATTTATTCAAATATTTACTATTTTAAATTTTTGAAAAAAATATTTTGTTTATGTTATTTATTTATTAGTTTCTCATTTACTTAAGTAATATTAATATAAATAAATAATAGATATATATATATATATATATGGTTGCTAACTTAATAACATTTGAAATTTAAATTGTTGAATAACTAAATTGGAAAGAAGAGATAATGAAAAGAAGACAATGTAAAAGCATATCAAGAACTTCAAAAGCAAAGAATGATGAGAATATTTGAAGATATGAAGATATACAAAATTAACTCTACATCGATATGTGTGATACAAGTGCAACTATATAAATCAAGTCTAGATGAAGAAAAAGTAAAAGACAAAGAAAAATGAAGAAGTGTTGAAATATTGTCAAATTCATTATTGAAGAGAAAAGATAGAAACACTTTGAAAGATTATATTGACATATTCATCTTTATTAGATAGTGTTATTGGGTTGAGTGTAATCATGATAAACCCTTCAATGTGTGAAGTAAATCTTATCAGCTTTATTGTGATTTTCCTCTTGCGTGAGAGAATTATCATTATTGTAATTATGAGTCTTGATCTTAAAGGAGACTAAGAGAGGATATACTAAAGATGTTAGGCATAGGTACGAGTATACTTTTTACCTAGTAGGAATGAGAATGAAACAAAAGTCTCATACCCATTAGGTATGAAGATGAAGATGTGTATGAATTTTTACTTTGCATATGGGAATGAGATAAAAAAAACTCATCCCCACCCTACTGTTTCCATCCTTAAATACAAATGAGTATTGTTAGAAACTTCATCATTCTTGGCTAAAGAAAAAATATTATTTAGATTCATAACTACTCCTAACTAAAAAGTCAAATACTGTTTGAAACACAATAACTCTTAACAAAAACTCAAGTATGTGGTTAAAAAGTGTGTGATAAAAAAATTATAGCTTGCTAACTAAAATAGGTGTTATGGCTTATATAAATACAAGTTAAGCTTCACTAAATTTAGGTTCCCTATAAACAAAGCAATGTTATTACAAACTTTAAGACAGAGAGAGGATTTTTGCTTAGAGATTTGATATCACACATTATTGTTGCTTTTAACCTATTCATCATTAAGAAATCTTGTATATGTAGAGATTTAAAGAAAGTAGTAATTGCAAATCCTTTCTTCTCTGATAGAGAAATTTTTGAGAATATCTTACTTTTTAGCTCATGTTTATTCATGCATAAATAAGATGTATTAAATGTTTTTCATTAAACATTAAATGCTCTACATGCATCATTAAATGATTACCTTCTTTTCTTGGACCGGTATTCCTCTTCTTGATCCCTTGTACCACACACAAGAATACATGGAATGATAGATATATGAAATAAGTCATGTTAATGAACTTTTAAAACAACTAAGTTCCTTGACTACTAGGAGCAAATTAGAAGGGGTGCCTCTACTTTAGCTACTTCTTTGACTTTATTTAGTATTTCTCTTTGTCTTGTTGTGTTTACTTTGTTTTATAAACTTTGCTCTTAGCACCTTGTTGGGAGGTATACGCCCACTTAGAGAGAAGAGGGGTAAGTTTAGTCCAAGAAGAGTGGAGCAACCAAGAGAGCTTTTAAGAGGCATGGTTATCATATAGAAGATCAATGTCGCATGAATAACTTGGATAACAAGGAGTCTTTTATGCCACCTTTGGACTCTCACGATGACCTACTTTCTAAAAGATTTTTGTGTATTTGCTAAAAGATCCTTCGGATTACTAACCTTTACCTCTAGGAAAAGGATTGAATATGAGTGTTTATATATGTTTAATATAATAAAAACTATGATGATATTAATCTCTTTTGTATTAAAAATAATATAAGATACTCTATTCATAATAAAATAAATATAAACTAAATTCAAAATACAAATAAAAAATAATAATAAATTAATAAAAATAAAATAAAGATAAATATATCATATATAAAATTATACATATATTTGTCCAAAAGCATAGTTCTCTTCTTCAATGTCTTCTTCTCGAGTTTTATCTTAAGTAGATTCAAGTGTTGATATTACCACTTTTCTTGGGTGACTCAGTAACCCAAGCAGTGTGATCACCTTTTCTTCCCTTCTCCCCTCTTTTACTCCATTTCATTTTATGTTCTAGTTTATTTTATGTTTTGTGTTTCACACTCGTATTCTTTAGTTCTTTATTTATGATTTCATATTGCTTAATTAAATTCTCTTCTTTCCTATAAATTATTGAAAGTGCACGTTAATTTATTTCTAGATAACAATTTGATTATATGTCTAATGGAAGTCTTCATTGAATTTTCTTCACTTAAATATCATATTAAGAAAAGCTAAAATGAGTCTACATCATCAATAAATAACAGTGTCTAACGCTCTCAATTTTAACATGTCTAATCATTGTAAATTCACCTATCGTCTGCTTTATGCATTTTACATATAACATCTACCTTTAACACACCTAACATCTAACTCATACATTTTACACCTCTCGTCTAACACTCGACCAACAACACTCGTCTACACAACACCGACACTACATAATCTACCCAATTCAAGTACACATCGTCTATGTGTATTTACACCTAACATCTACTACACAACTAGAATACCCCACTTTTAACTAAATTACACCTTTTAAATAAATAATCCAAAACGTTAACCAAAAAAGAGATTGCAAAATATAAAAAAATACATAAAATATAGTTATTTCTCAATTTTGAAATTCCTTTCTATAAGTTCTAGAATGAGTGTTCCAAATTGGTGAGAGTAGTGTGGTTTTCTTGCATAATCCAATTTAGAAAGATCACCCATATAAGAATGAATTATACCATCCCAAGTGCAATTTTTCCATTTTGATTATACAATTCGTAATTTTAAAAATTATCACTTACGACAGTTATGAATTGCCCTACTATCCAAACACTACTCAATAGTTATACTCAAGAATTCTTTACCACCATTAACGCACAAGGACACTAATGGATGTTTTAGAGGTTGACTGAATTATAAAAACACAGGGCAAAATAGGTATCTTCAAATATATTGGGGGTGTAGAAAGAGAATAACGGGATGAAGGAAGAATCCTATTTTAAATGGAGAATAAGAAATTGGGTTTTAATCTTCAGCATCTCATCATGCTCTATGCAAAGAAAGTGTTTCAAATCTGTGATCCTAATTAATTTGCAAGATGCAAGATTACAGTATGGTGCTAATCATGCTCATAAAATAAATTCTGCTCAAAAATTAAATTAGACAAATGGCGCATGACGTGCACAATTTAATATTCGACATATTGTAACAATCATGATACTAAAAGTTGAATCCTTCTGTTGTATAGCCAAAATAAAGTGCATTAGTAAATCTAGTTTTAGATGACCTAGTTCATCCCTGCAAGGGGAAAATAGTTTCAGAAGACCAATCTCTACTCTGGCAATTATTGACAAGTATCATCCTTCCTTGCAAGTTCATGTTGTTTTCGAAGTATCAAACCTCCCAACAGCTTCTGCGGTTATACTCATGCAAAGATGGTAGTCCTTTTGCGTTGTCAGATTTTAGTAAACATGACAATGGACGAGGCATGAACCCTGAATATACATCATGTTCATAACTTATACATTACGCTATAAGCAAAAGGATAGTGATATATGAGTTCATGGAAGGTCTTTTAATTTACAACAGCCTCCAATAATGCTTAAAAATATTTTATCAACCAGTGCTGCCAGATAAATCGCCAGAAAATGCACTTCCATATGAAACTGATCCCGTTTGAGAAGCACTGCTGGCTCGAGCTTTCTGATACTGTCGTATCCTGAAACATCTCGAGGAAGGGGTTGACTTTGGACAGTAGTGGTATCATCATCCTCTTGCCCTAATCATTTTTACAATAACATATATAAGAGGAGGGAAACTTAACTTTAGAGTAAAAACATAAAGAAAGCTCTACAGTACAAGTATAACACACATTAGAAAAATAGGACAATGAAATTTACAACCACCAGCATTTAAGTATTCTTGGTGGTTTGGTGATATACACGGTTAAATCTAGGCACAAAAGAAAACAATGACCCAAAAAGATGGAGGATTATGAGTAAGCTCATTAAATTTCTGTAAATCTTTCTATATGGTATAAAGAGCTTAGATTCTCTTTCCCTTTGCTCTATTTTTTTCACTGCAGTTTGCCGTCTTCCGTCTGTGAGAAAATTGTCATGATCCAATGGTGAAACCCCCAGTGTCCGGTTTGGCTTCTTTTGCATGCCTCCTGTGAGACCTCTTTCGACAGTGTCCCTCTTAATTTATGTGAAAAATCAATTGGATCAGCTAGTTATACTACACGGGCATCTGCTGTCCAGCTATGGTTCGGCAGAGAAGGTAGTGTTCACCACTTAACCAACTAGACGATGACTGTTCCTGTTAAGGGTGAAGACTAGTGAAAGCTAATTAATGCCTTTTTTATTCAGTGTCTTGTTCTCTGTTGCTGTCAACCAGCAACTCAACATCAAGTTTTTCCAACAAGCTATAGGATATGGAATAAAGGCAAGAAGG